CATTGTCACGTCTTATCAAGTGTACTATTGAAGTACTGATGCATGTCATTAATTGTGGAGCATGCATGACAAGTGAAAGGCAGAGATTCCTGATGCGGTATCACATGTGAACGCAGAACTTGGCATTGTCACGTCTTATCAAGTGTCCTGTTCAAGTCCTGATGCATGTCATTAATTATGAAACATGCGTGACAAGTGTCCTGGTGCATGCAAAAAGAGTCCTGATGCATGGTCATTGATTCGCAGGGTCACATGTGAAAATTACAGATTCATTTACTAATACATGTAAAAAAAATCTTTCAAGTCTTTAAACAAGAAAACACTCAGCCCATGTTATAAAGCCTTTAAACTCTTTAAACTCAAACACGCAAACACTCAGACACTCAAACACTCAAACATTTAAACACCACAATTTTCTCTATGTCTCAAACACCACAGTATATGATTTCCGCTCATCTAAACGGTGAAGTTTTCGAATGTGAAGTGTCGGGATACAATTTCAGAAACACGGAGGTTACAAAGTTTTTAATTGACAGAAGGTCTAATTTTTTACACCTGAAGTCCAGAATAGAAAAAAAACTGCAACGTGGTCCAGTTGGGCAAATAATATACAAAAACCCATTATTTTTTGGCGGACCTGATTCATGCAAGTTTTTCCCTTTAAACGTGTGAGACGATGAAAATGTGCGTAACATGTTCCGCAGTCACGAGTATTCTGGGTTCTCAGATATCGTGTTATATGTTACATTACAACAACAACAACTGTCTCAACAACTTGATTCGTCCCAAGTTTTTTGCGATGAGGAAGATGAACACCCTGAAGTCAATGTCGTTGACGAAGAAGAAGAAGCAACTGAAGTCACTGTTGACGAGATGGTGAACAATCCGGAGGTTGAGGTTCAACCTGGCAATGTCTATTGTCCTCCTCAACACATGACTACTATCGCCTTAGGTGATGATGAACCCTCGACGAATGTTTTCTACAACCCCAACTACACAACAGAGGGGCAACTAAAAGAGGGTGACGAGTTTCGTACGAAAGAAGATTGTGTCCGGGCTATCAAACAATTTCACATGGAGTTGTCAGCCGACTACAGAGTCGATCAGACAAATCCTACGCGATATACGATCTATTGTCGTAACAACGAGTGCCCATTCCGATTAACAACATCTTTCAAGAAGAGAAGCGATTCCTGGAAGATAGGGTCAATGTGTCCGTCCCATAGTTGTATAATCTCGAATCCGATGCAAGACCATCACAAACTCAGCTCTAAATTGATTTGTGATGAGATTCTATCAGTCGTTAGTGAAAATCCATCTTTGAAGGTGAGTACCATAATTGCACATATGGTACAAAGGTACAACTACACTCCTTCGTACCGAAAAGCATGGATTGCAAGAACTAAGGCAGTTGAAAGGGTGTTTGGAAATTGGGAGGAGTCGTACAAGGAACTTCCTAAATTCCTGGTGGCCCTTAAACACTACTCTCCATGAACTGTTGCGATATTGGAGACGATGCCTGCTTGTACACCGGACGGGACTTGTGTTGGTGGAAATGGAATTTTCCACAGAGTCTTCTGGGCATTCGAACCATGCATCAAAGGGTTTGCATTTTGTAAACCTACAATTCAAATTGATGGAACATGGTTATACGAGAAATATAAGGGCACACTTCTCATGGCTGTGGCACAGGACGAGAACAACAATATTTTTCCAATAGCCTTCGCCATAGTAGAAGGGGAGACTGCTGGGGGATGGAGTTTTTTCTTAAAAAACCTCCGCTCTTACGTGTCTCCACAACCTAACTTATGTTTGATCTCTGATCGACACCCATCCATCGAGAGTGCATACAACAACCATGACAACAGTTGGCAGGATCCTCCCTCGACGCACGTCTATTGCATAAGGCATATTGCCCAAAATTTCATGCGGGAAATCAAGGACAAGACGCTGCGAAAGAAGGTTGTGAACACGAGATATGCACTAACTGAACCCACATTCAGATACTACCGTGACGAGATCAGACTGAACAACACATACGCATTAAGATGGATTGATAGCATTGATAGGGAGAAATGGACGAGGGCATACGACAATGGGGTGCAATGGGGCCACATGACAACTAACCTCGTAGAGTCAATGAATTCTGTTTTCAAGGGAATCCGAAACCTCCCAATAACTGCCTTGGTGAAGGCAACCTATTTCAGGCTAGGATCACTCTTTGATAGCAGACGTACGAAGTGGGGTTCGATATTACAATCGGGCCAGCTGTACAGCGATACTTCAATGAAATTCATGAAAGAGGAAGCTGCCAAAGCCAACACACATGTGGTCACCATCTTTGACCGTACAACTGGTTGGTTCAGTGTTGCCGAGTCTATGGATCATAACGAAGGAAGTCCTAGGGGATGTTACCGTGTTGAATTGGATAAGAGCTGGTGTGATTGTGGAAAGTTTCAAGCATTCTGCATGCCGTGCTCTCATGTCATAGCAGCATGTTCCAAGTTGCGCCAGGACCCAACCAACCTTCTTTCTGCAGTTCACCAAGTCATTAGTCTATGCAATGTCTACACATGCAGCTTTCAAGTGGTGGCAAAGGAAGACTATTGGCCTCAATACAAAGGAGAAATTGTCTGGCATAATGACCTGATGCGCAGACAGAAGAAGGGTCGACCTAACAGCACGCGCATTCGAACTGAGATGGATACCGCAGAAAAGCTGGTGAGATTGTGTAGTTTGTGTCGGCAACCAGGACACAATCGAACAAAATGTCCAAACGTAGGATCAAGCAGCAAATCATAGTTTCATGTGTAATCTTGTCCCGTTAAATCAATATCAAATTCCATTCGATTAATAACAACTTTTATAAGATTAATAGCAAATTTCTTTCGAATAATACCAAGTTTCAATCAATTAAAACCATAGTTATCTGACACAACAACAACATGACAACAGAACACTACGCGAAGGCAACATAAATTAAACAAACATAACAACAACGTAAAGACTTAAAACATAACACTGCACCAAAGCGTCTACGATATCACGACCATCAACTTTATCTTCTTGGGTGTCAACATCATCACAAGGACACCGACATCATTTTCCACTTTTCTCCATTCATGAGTCACTCCGTTTCTCCCGGTCTCCTCGACCAGCCTCTCGATTTTCCTAATCTTTTCTCCTGGACCAATATCTCCTTCTAGCCAGCGGTTCAGTTCCCTGTGCAAGTGCTCCAACGTCTGCGTATTCTAGAGGAGCACCTTCATCGGAGCCTTTGGTGAAAACACAACTAGGGCATTTCTTTTCATTAGATCGAACGTTGGAAAAGGTTCCTCCGATGCTGATGACGACGACGACGAACGTTGATTTTGAAATGCAGACATTCTAGGCTCCACTCAACTCAAAATGCACTAAAGCTTCAGTCTTTTGGAATACAAAGTTGTGAAAACATACTTGTGTTTGCAGTCGTATTTATAGTAAAAAAATGGTACGTACCCCATATGATATGACTTAAACACCCTTAAAAAATTTACATTAATTAAACTTCAGTGAACACTCAAATTTTATGTTTTAAAATTAAAAATTAATTTGAGATCAACATAAATTTATTTAATTAGGTTTAAAATCTAAACTTCAATGAAAACTCAACTTTTAGATCAACATAAATTTATTTAATTAATTTGAGATTTTTTTTATTTGAACCTAATTACTTAAAATTTATTAATTAAAAATTAATTTTAACTTTAAACCTATTTATTTAAAGTTTATTAATTAATAATTATTTAAAATTTATAAAATATAACTAATTTAAAATAATTTATTAATTACTATTTATTTAAAGTTTATTTATTAATTTATTTAAAGTTTAATAATTTAAGATTAATAATTATATTTAACAATGTACACGTGGAAACCCTAAACTGATAACACAAAGCACACATTTGCCAATTGGGATGACGAATTGCTTTTTTTATTTTTCAGATTACAAACATTCGCCAATTGAAGTGGCGAATTGGCTTTTTTGATTTTCCAATTTACAAACTTTCGCCAATTAAAATGGCGACTGAACGTTGATTAGTTGGTTACTTTGGAAAATTATTTCAAATATGCATTATATTGATAAATAAAGTTTAATACGCGATTATTCTAAAAAAAAAAATTCCCAATACTTCATCAAGAGTCTAACATTATAGTCCAAACATAATTTTGATTAGAACATTAAGTAACTCTCTTAACTTCTTCTAACCACCATTCTAACCTACTTTCTAAATTTAAAGGAGTTAATTCTACTTTTAGTATTCTCTAATATTTTATTATATTATAATAAAAAATGTTTCGTGAAGAAGCAATTCATAGTTACTCTTAATCAAATTGAGATAAATACATTTTTCTTAAATATGTGAAAAACGTCAAAAACGATATAAGAGCAACTTTAGTGTAGGGTTGTTAAACCAAAATTCTTTATAGCTTACGTTAGTAATAAGGAATTTGCATTATAGTAGTGCTGACATGGCATATGGGATGCTCTAAAACTAGTTTACGTGCTCTACACAAGCAACATACTCTAACTCATTATTTAACATAAATAATAAATTTTTATTAATTATTTAACATAAATAATAGATTTTTATTAACCATTTAATACCATGTGGGGTCAAGTTTTGGTTTCTTATAGACAACCACCATTAAAGTAAAACTACTCAAATCAACTATAAATTTTTTAAATCCTACAAATCACTTTGGTCCCACAAAAAGTATCTTAGTTTACCCATTTAGTTTACTCCCACTAAAGATGCTCTAAGTGGTAATATATAATTTTTTCTACAAACATGCCAAATTATTATCGGACACTATCTATATCCTTATCTTACTGTGTGGTCAGAAGGACAAGTGTATGCAGATTGGAAACCATTTTCTAGCTAAGAGTTTGAAAAGAGCCTAAAAGCATATATGTTTCAGAAGATTGATAAAGAAGAAGAAAAAGAAGAAGCATAGTTATGGAGAGTAGTTGCAAGGTGTGTGTGACTGGCGGTGCTGGTTACATCGGTTCTCTCTTAGTCAAAAAGCTTCTACAAAAGGGCTACACCGTCCATGCTACTCTCAGAAACTTGAGTACTCATTCATTCATTCTATCTCTGCATTATCACTTTTTCTACAAAATTTAGTTAATGGTGGATTGATGCATTGCAGAGGACGAATCGAAAGTAGGTATATTGAGAGGCCTTCCTGATGCAGAAAGTAGACTAGTGTTATTTGAAGCAGACATATACAAACCAGATGACTTTTCGCATGCAATCCAAGGATGTCAGTTTGTCTTTCATGTTGCTACTGCCTTTCAACACCAAACTAATTCTAAGGTTCACTTCTCTAGTTTTCATTATTACTCTTCATTATTAGAAGTTCTTGTATTATTTTATTTATACGAAACAATTTAATAAAACTCTTTAAATTTTTTGAAGTATTATTGAAAAAGTATTAATCATGTACTTTTTTTTATATCTATCATAAATAAAAATAGAGTTGTAGTCACCCATATATAAATGTTTATGACAGTTTAATGGCATTGAAGAAGCTGTAATAGCAGGTGTAAAAAGCATAGCTACGAATTGTATTAAATCAGGAACTGTAAGAAAACTCATATACACTGGCACAGTTGTTTCTTCTTCTCCATTAAAGGATGATGGAAGTGGCTACAAAGACTTCATTGATGAAACTTGTTGGACACCTCTTCATCTTCCTCTCACTGCTCTCCATAAGGTAAATAATTATACACCTCTCCATCGCACATCCAAAAAAAAGAACTTATAACAAATCATAGTTAACTATTTTGTTAGGAATATGCTGATTCTAAGACACTGGCTGAGAAAGAATTGTTAATGAGCTACGGCAAAGATGAAAATGGAAGTGGTGGAATTGAGGTGGTTAGTCTAAGTGTTGGCCTGGTGGGAGGGGATGCTCTTCTGAGTTACACACCAGCAACTGTTGCAGTACTTACTGCTCAGCTTAAAGACGATGATGAAGCCATGCATCAGTCTTTGAAGTTTGTGGAAGATATATGCGGAAAAATTCCACTAGTGCACGTCGATGATGTTTGTGAAGCTCATATTTTTTGTGCTGAAAATCCATCTATCAATGGCAGATTCTTGCTTGCAAACTCATATGCATCATCAGCAGAGATAGCAAGTTATTATCTTCAAAACTATCCAGAATTCAATTTGAAGGAGAAGTAAGTTTATTATATTAACGATGAAAATTGAAAAGTGGAGTATTCAATTATAAGCATCTGAAATGTGACAATATATATTTGACATTTGGTTTTAGGTATTTGGAAGGGCCAGACAGGAAAATCAAATGGGCATCAACAAAGCTTATTGACGAAGGGTTTGTTTACAAGCATGATCTCAAGATGATATTGGATGATAGTATCAAGTGTGCAAGAAGAATAGGCTATCTTAATATGTAATGATCTTTGTGATATTGTATTTTCTGTCAAAATAAATTATCGGAAGAAACTCTCTTTATAGAAATTTGCATGCATATAATTTTAAATTGTTTGATAGAATTTTATCGAATAATAATTAGTCCTTGTATGGAAGAAAAAATATTATCGTAGAATTCATCCATGAGTGAGATAAGTCAAGTGATTAAATGCCTTGGAGTACAAGTTAGGGTTAAGAGAACATTTTCTTAATAGTGGTAATAGTGTATTAGGCAAGATTGGGCTAATGCATGATGAGTTTAGGTCATGTGTGACAAGTTTAAGGATGGTTAAGTCAGTGTGTTGAGTAACTAAGTGATCAATCTTGCATGAAAGTTAACTCATTCGTTCATTCCATTCATGCATGAAACAAAATTCGCTTAGAAAAGAACATATAAACCTTTCGTATATTTTTCTTAGCTATGAATTTCTTCAAGTTAAGGGTCTAATTTTTCTAAGGTTTGAAAATGGAATTTGATCAATTTCTTCTCATATTTGCATACATGTAAATTTGGTGTAGATAAAATAGTTGCACGTATAGAAGAAGAAGTCGTACGTCAGAAAAATTTGGTGGAAATTATGCAAGTTTGGTATATGATATTAGAATGACTATTATTATATCTTTTAGGATAAAAAATCGGCTCACAAGTTTAACTCCCTGCTTTTCCATGAAATATGAGTCTTATAAGTCATCCGTTTTTCCAATTTTTTTTTGAATGAGAAGTCTATTAGAATTCTATTTCTATTTTATTTTTATTTTGAATTAAAAGTCCAGTTTATTTTTAATGTATTTAAACACCATTGGGTGCGACTGTTAAAATTATCTTTTGATCGATAAGCATTTTCATTTTTGGTTGATTCAAAAATTTGCCTAACAAAATTTGTGGCTTGCAAACTTGAATTTTCGTTCTAAGCTTAACTTCCAGTAATCCGTAATATTTCTGACTGCCTCGAAATTTTATTGAGAAAATATTAATCTTATGAGTTGAGGTTTGGCTTAACCACATTGTATTAGGGAGGTCAAAATTTTGAAAAAAATATTCTAATTCTAAAGTTGTGATCTATCTCTTAATAGAAAATTAAAAAAAAAAACAAATTGATTTTGAAAAACTTAAAAAAAAAAATGCTTAAATTTAGTTTTGGTTCATCAAATTTTTTAAATCACATATTTGAAATCACCACAAAATTGTGGTTATGGTGCATATAGTTTTATGACAAGAAAATGTTTCCTCCTCTAACTTTTGTTTGTGGTAATGGGCCTCTTTGTTTTTAGAGTAATACTAAACTTTTAAAATTGTACTTCATTAAAGTGTTAAATCTAATCATTTTAATTATAAGTAAAAAAATGTTTTCTAGGAAGTTATTTATTTATAGTTATGAAGAAATTCTTGGTTTATAAAGAAAATTTATGTTTAAGTAAAACTCCAGTCTCTTTGAGTTTAGAAATATCAGGACTCTAGCCCAATCTAATGGTGGGGAAATTTTTCTCTATGAATTTATGTTTAATTTGTTTTGTCTATATTTGAGTAAAAAAGTAAGATCTTTTTTAAAAAAACGGGTAAAAAAAATTCTTGAGAATTAAAAAAAAAAATTAATAGACTTTTGGCCGTTTTTAACCTTTTAATCTTCTATTTTAAAATTCAGCTTTTTAATCGCTCAATTTTATTTTTCTTAAAGTTTTATTGGTTCGCTCCACTTTTATATATATATATATATATATATATATATAATCTGCGTCTATAAATCAATGATACAACAAATACAATGTTCAATACATATTTCATCACATAATATTCAGAGTCATGTTCTGATGGTTGTTGTTTTATTTACAAATAATACAAATAATATATAGTGAGTAATAATATACACACAAAAAAACACACAAATTATTATAGATATAAATGAATGTCATATAATTAATATCACTTATTTTTAGAGATAATGAATTTAAGCTTTTTGTTTCTAGTACCATGTAAATTGTAATAAATGAAATCCCTCTGAAGTTCTATATATTGAAAAAAAATTTAAACATTAATAAAAAATATTTAAAAATAAAGTATAAATTTTAGTATTATAAATATATATTTCGAAGTCACATAAAATATAAGTTGTGTGTTAATTATATCTTTTATATTTGCATCTATCTTTCTGTCTATCGAACATAACATAATTACAATATTCTCACTATGTCAGATAATTATTAATAGCCAATGTGAATGGCATGAACATTAGAATAATAAGTAATAAATACAAAATTAAATGCTAAATAAGAGAAAACAAAAATTTATATTACGTAGGTTGTGGACCCGTGAATCTACTCAGACCCACAAAAGGTCGGTAGACTTGACTCCCGAAATCGTATGAGTAAATAGAAAATTAAAAATGACATTCAAAAACCTTTAAGTGACACGTATATGACAAACACATATATTTATAAACTTGTAAATGCATCATATATGATACAAATATGTAAAATAGAACACCAATTAACATCAAAATTTAATTTCATACTCTATAACAAACTTCTAAACAAAAAAAAAACTCGACAATAAAATAAACAAAATAGAAAAGTATGTAGTTAAAGACTTAAAATACTAATTCCTTCTTAATTGCCTACTACATAAAACAAAACAAACAAAAAACCATAAAACATATATGCCTTCAAACATCCAAAGCTTAAGATAAATCACCATCGTCAATATCATCATCATCATCTTCATTGATATCTTGATTATTATTATCAAACTTTGTTCTAGATGAAACACCTTTTTCATCATTAGCCAAAGTTGGATTTCTAGAAGTTACACTTCCACCTAATTCAACATTGCCACCACCACCATTTTGCACAACATTAGCAATAACAACATCAACAACAAACTGCCATTTCTTTTGAGATGCAAAGATTTCCATCCCTTGAGTTTCCACCTTACGAACATCATTTTCTCTGGTCATAAATTATCTTATTTTAGAAGTTAATTCTTCAGATTCAACAACAATATTCATAAATAAATATTTAACATCATCTGGTGCAAAAGCACAATGTCCAACATCATCTCTTTTACCAGCTAGGTGATATTTAAATCTGAATATTCATATACCAATAGTATTGGAGCAGTATTTCCATTTAACCTCTTTACATATTCCAAGAACGTCAGACCCATGTTGTCATCCAATATCAATTTGACTTTCAGCAACATTTTTTTCTAGTGCCTTTGCCTCTAGGAATTGGAGCAACAACGAGAGTGATTGTTTTTGCTTGAAGACATTTTGAGACTGAGAGCAAGGAATAAAGAGAACAAGTTGTAACAAAACAAAAAGAAGGGAACAAATACATAACTTTAATCAAAATACACGAATGGAAACAAAATCCACTAGAAACAAAAAAGTTTTAGTGAACGAAGTAATAATCGCATACAACAAGTGAAACAAGGGAATTAAATCACATACATACAAATTAAAACAATCACATCGATGAAAGGATGAGAGACAATTGCGAACACAACAAGAGACAAACGCGACCACATCGATGAAAGGAGGAAGAAATGGCGATGAATGAGAAGACCCTTCTGAGACATCGTCGACTCGTCGTTGCTGAAAAAAGAGACTAGGAGAGGGATGTTTCTAATTTTAAACGTATCGTTGTACAAGCAATACAATAAGAATTTTTTCAATAAAAATAATTTTTTTTTGGGGGAATTTGGGTCATTTTTTGGATTTTTTTAATAAAAAAATTATGAAAAAACATATAGACTCACAAATTTGTATGAGTTTACTCGAGTCTATAAAAAAAAATTTATGTGTGATTCTACTCGTTTTTGTTTCCTAGACTCATAACCTCATACAAGTTTATGAATCTACTCGCAAGTTTAACAACCATGCACATGCAAAAACAATGTTACATAAAATTTTTTATTCAACTCATTTAAAGGATGTTATATGTAGGGTTAAATATCACTTGGTTGACGCCCTAAATATTGAATGTTGTAGGCACCCAAGAATCTATACGAATTAGCCTTATTTATTTCACTACAAAGACGATGCAATACCTAAAAGTTAAAACAAAAATCAAAATTTAAAGTGAAAAATTACATTAAAAGGAATTAAGAAAAATAAATATAAACTAACATCACTTAAAAAATATTTATATTCATAAAAATTGTAGTACAGAAAAAATTTAGTCACTCAATATCCCACACTGAATTTCTAATACACATTATGATTAAATCATTTATAAGATAAAATATCAAAAATTAATTTATAATTACATATTCGAATGAGTAAAAGAATTATATATATATATATATATATATATATATATATATATATATATATATATATATATATATATATATATATATATATATATATATATATATATATATATATATATATATATATATATATATATATATATATATATATATATATATATATATATATATATATATATATATATATATATATATAAATAAAAGAATTTATCATATCATTCCATACATGTGACATACAAGTTAACACCTCAAACCATTATTTGAGGACTCTATTACTATGATACCATATTATAATGCCTTAATTTTATGGCATAAATTATTATATTGTTTATAAATATTTTAACGAATGAATTAGTGATCAAATTATGAATTTATATTCAACCTCAATCTTCATATAACTCCATAAAAATATTTAAAACATTTATACAATCAATTCTATATTAGTAGAATCTTCATAAAATCCCATTAAAAGTTATTTTTATAAAGTTTATCTTTTAGGTGTTGCTCACTACATTCTACATCACTACATTCTATGTAGTGGTCACACATCCTATGAAAACTCCAAAATGTCCCTCGTATTATTCAAAATTTAAAATCTGGACGCATTTATTATACACCAAATCACTAAATCATATAAGCACAACCTTTTTTTTTTGGTTGCCAAAAACAAGTATGAATTTTAATCTCTGGACTATTTCTACACATTGATTGTGT